TAATAATCAATTATCTTCAAAACCTAACCAATAAGACTGGGATTTGGTGTGTTGCTACTTACCTAACATAAGATCAAGAACGAAAGCCAAGACCTCTAATTATAAGTCTAATGTACTTTATATCATACTGTATTATTTCTTTCTATGTTATAAATTCTAAACAGACATTAAACTTTCCAGATGCAATATACATTTTTTCCTATTAATGATATTTATCCCAATTTTAACAAGGGATCTTATGGCTTATGAACGCCTCAGCAATCTGGTTCAGCAAAGAAAAGTGACATGTTAACATTCAATAACATGAGCATGCAGTTTAAGATCAAAAACTCATGCTTGGAAAAAAGGGATATGAATTGAAAGTTTCCTAAATAATACACACTTTATTATCTGGTTCCTGGAATTTGTTTTAAATCTAAATGTTTAAAGAATTTTATTGAATTATTTTAAGTATTTTTGAAACTTGAAGTTCATATTTTGAGAAAATTACAAATTATTTCCAAATTGGTAGAAGTTAAAATCAACAGATTATCTAACTGTATTTTTATCATAAAGTATCTATTATATACCCTAATGTTCACATAAGTTTGCTAACCACTTTTCATATGGAAACTCCCAATTGTTGTCATCTATGATTTATATTCTAAATAAAAGTTTCCATGTATTTTTTGAAGTGCTATACTGGCCTTTTAAAAAAGATGTAATTTCTCTGTGTTGCTTTAAGCTTTGTATGAAATAAAACATGTACCAACCCGCAAGTAACGAGGTGCACCTTGAGGAAAAAATGGTGACTGTGTAAATTATTAAATTTACAGACTAGACCTCCTGAGTGAGAACAACTAGAAGATACTTCTACGTATATCAGAACCCTCCTTTTCTATACTGTTTAGCAGTCCAGAGATAGTGGCTAGTTCTCAAATTCAATCTTATTCTTTTCTTTTCCATTAGTATCCTCTTCCATTTCCTCTGGAAATGGAGAATGGAAAATTCTCTATTCCATGCCCACTGGCCAGCCTCCTTGTTTTCCTGAGTCCCCAATCTTCTGAAGGTGTTTGATGTCCCAGACACCTTCAGAAAGCTTGTGTTGTACTGTAATATTTTATGAACAAGGAAAGAAAAATCCTGAATATTATATTTTACATTTCATCTGAAATAGTCTTTGCCAAAGAAACTACCTATGGTATAAACACATATATGTGTTTGCGTATGTATAATTTTTCATTATACATCTTTTTAAGAAATAGAAAATTATCTTGAATATTTAGCAAATAACTAACAAAATAATAAAGCAACTTCTGTAAGGCCACAAATGATATGAAATTTTAATTTACTGTGGCATTTAAAATGTATCTTACATGTTTGCATCTTAAGGTAGTCTATACATGGACTATGTCTTATTACATGATCAAGTCACATTTATCAGATGTCTACTAGATAGAAAACATATAGTTCACAATATAGATGAATGACCATGAGGATATAACAAAATATTTCACAGGCTAATGTTAAATTATAAAATTACACTTGTAAAGTGGTTAATGTAAGATTCTTGAAACACTTAGTAATGAAAACATTTTAACATCTTAACACCGCAAGAAATCTGTGCCCAATTCCAGCCCAAAAGGAGTTTTTAATTATAAAGACTTATTTAACTTAGAAAGATTTTTTTTTACTTTTGAGTGTCTCAAAGTATTTCATAATAGTAAAAACTGGAAATGTAAGCTAGACAGTAGAGGTGAAAAGATACTATCTTGAATGCTATAAAACAACATATCTTTGGCAAGTTTACGCAGTTTTTCCATAAAAACAAACTAACCTTAACAAATTTATCTATAATTCTTATTATTTCATCTTTTTTTACAGTGTGATGAAACCTGATATTTTGTTTTTAAATTTTACAATGGAGAATTACTTGTGAGTTCTAATACAGAGAAATGTGTATTTCACTAAGTAATATACTTTGCAAATAACACTCATACACCTATAATTTTTCTTTCTCTCATCAGCAAGTACTCAATAAACACTTTTTGAATGAATAAATAAAAGTCAGTGAACTACTACTCTATCTTCTCTAACTAATAATACAACTTCCACCTCTCACCTATGATCAGTTCCTGTGTCAAATCAATAAACCTCATCTGCTAATGGAGGCACTATCAATTATATTCAGAATTTGTTCCATAAAGATTAATACATAAATCCCTCATCAAGTCAAATGCTAAACAAGTTTTCAGCATTTGTGAAACAGGTATGCTCGCTTCCTTTTTATTAGATAACAATACTACACCAAAAAAAAAAAAAAA